AAACAAAAAAACAATCTGATCTTTACTTGAAACCCATCCAGATCTCCAGAAAACAATTCTGCCTGCAGCCACGGTCTCCATTCTCCATCCTCACTGTTTGCTTTTTGGAAAGAAAGATGTGACCTCACATATTAAAATTCCTCCTCTCATGCTGTCCATCATGAGCTCCATCACTGTGGAGACAGTCCACAGCGCTTTCCAAAAAATTGGTTTCCCTGAGGACGACTCAAAAATCTGTTCAATTCCAGTTTTTTGTTTTTGGAGATGCTGAAAGAATGACCACTCTTCTCTCTCCTTCTCTCCATCCTCTATCGCCCCAGCTGCACTTTTTTTTTTTTTATATATTTCATTTCTGCTGCTAAATCAGAGCCAGCAGCAACACCACCTCCTCAAATTCAGGTTGCTCGGATAACCCAGTAAGTTTGAACAGCCCAGGGACGTGAGGAAAAAAAAAATCAACCAATTGCCAAATATAGAGATATCGTTACTTAACATGCAGCCACCTGAAATGTTCTTTTTTTTCATGCAGTTACATCTGATTTCTCCTGTGTTTGTTGCCCTAATTCACATTTCCTGTTCTAGATTTTGACACAAATGCTCTTAGTTGATCTTTTAATGGCACTAAAATGAAATTACAGTTAACTGTATTTATAATTGATCATGATTTAGGGCACATAGGTTTACTTGCATGGCACACAACAGGTAGCCAGTGCTGCAGGTACCTGATACTATAAATAGATTTAAATATAAAACAGCCTCTGCTACACCTACACTTATACTGAAACACTTCACAGCCTGATGATGATCAGTGCTTTTTTGCCCACAATCCCACACACTGAACATCACCAGTGCAGGTTTAATTAATTTTACAGTCCTTTGACATTTAATAAAAAAAATATATAAAACTAATAAATTATGTAAGAACTTAAAAAAAAAAAATTACTTAAATAAGCTTCTGAGTCAGTGTTGGAAAAGAAGACAAGTGTTGTCAGAGTGGGTTAAAAGGTGGATAAAAAAGCTCCGTAGCCTACCTGTCAGCGGGCTGATCCAGAGTCTCAGAGCAGCAAGGTCTCCGTCCTCCGCTCCTTCATCACACTGATGCTGCTGCTGCTGCTGATGAGGATGATGATGGTGATGATGATGATGATGCGGGCTGTTGTGGGCGACGCGAGGCTCCCAGTGAAGTTGCCGCTCGCATGGAAGTGTTCAGAGTCTGCGCGGAGGAACCGGACGGATGTTGCCTTTAAGTACTGTCGAAAATGTGTGAATTCCGAAAATAAGACAACTAAAACTATTCATAAGGGATGTTTAAGACGACACCTGGAGTATGTTTCGGGGTGGGTGAGGTTGTAGCTTGTGTTTTATATTTCAGCGGTAGAACAACTCCAGATGTCACACAATCGTGTCTTTAGCTGGAAGGAAAGCTGACCAACCACAGCGTTGCCTATTCCCGGCGAGATAACAATGTTGATAGATATATTAATTTGTAACTGGTTGCGAGTCAGCATTTCTCCTGGCTCTGACTCGTTCTTTAATGAAACACAAGCCTTCCGAAAACTTTAAGTTCTATCGGTTATCAGTCATCGGTTATCCTTGAAGCTGGGATAAACGACAAGCACCTGAATGCACCACCTGATCGGGTGAACCGAGCGGCCGTTGATTAGTTTAAATATGCTAATATTGTTAGCAGTTAGCTGATTCTCTCAGGTAACTTTCCTAATTTGTCGACACAATGTTAAACCTTGAGGACACGAAGATGTTGCCTTTTATTTTTTACTCTATGGTATCACAAGAAGTTAAAGTTAGTGGAGGTTTCTATCAAACAGCGCCAAAGCCTTAGTTGTTTGCTTGCACAGAGTGACGTCATGCATTTTATTTACCTGTGATTAGTTTTTCTTCATTATTTGTTCAACCTCAGGCACTTTGAAAAAATAGAAATATACTTGTTAGCTGTGTCTCCCTCTAGTGTTCAAACTCCTACTAAGGTCCTGTTGTGTTCATACAATCACGACCTTCTCTTTTAGTTCATCAGTTTCTCTTGTTTTTCTTTGTAAAAAATGCTTTTAAGTGTTTAATGTTTGGAAAGCAGCTCAAAGGCTAACTTTGATATGTAATGTAATATGTATGTCAGGACAGTGACAGCTACATGGTATTGAAAAGAAACCCTGACCTGAAAAAAATTAAAACATTAGCATTGAATCAATTTTATTGTAAAACACTGAAGAAAGTTTCACAGAAGAACAAAAAACATTTTTTTGCATTCTGGTTTTGTTTTTCAGGGAATATCTTCGGATGCGTTCATGCTGAAAAGAGTGGGAACCCTGAACTCCAGGTGAAGCCATCAGAGTGAATTCATGCTGGAGGTATCAGAGCAGAAGGTGGGTTCATGCTCTTTTTATTATTATTATTTTTTTTTATTAGCACACATAAGAATACAAAATATACTCAAAATAGAAGAAACAAAAACATAAAAGGTGTGTCAGGAGAGGTCAAGAAGCCAACAGGCTTATCCAAGGGACCTCACCTCTTAAAGAGACAAATAAATCAACTAAACAAATCGAACTACACAATTTCAAAACAAAATTAAATATAAACACATATACATAACCTATACACGTATTCATACACACACACTTAGACACATACATACAATAGAAAGACTGATAATGTTAACCCTCTATCAGCTAAATGAAACAGACATTGATCTATTAAAAATGGAGTGAATGAGTGAGTTGATGGAGAAAAAAGAAAATAAATATATTTTATATATGCAAAAGTTTGACCTTATGGATTAAATGTGAAGACAGTTTCCTTTTAAAAATCTCTGTCGACGAAGAGTCGTTAACGTGTTTTTTGGAATTCCATATTTGTACAAAAATTCCATATTTGTACCCCAGTTCTCTTCAATATGCAGATTATATGTAAATCATGCTCTCCAACCCCCCCCCACACACACACACACACACACACACACACACACACACACACACACACACACACACACACACACACACACACACACACACACACACACAGGTGACAGTGAGCAGAATAAGGAAAACCACTGACATCCTAAAAAAATCTGTCATTGAGTGACATGTATGAAATTTCAGAAGATAGTCACTGAAAAACAAGGCAGAATGCAAAAAAATAAAAATAAAAATAAAAATAAAATAATTGAATGCATGTGTTTTGTTCTTCAGTGAAACGTTTTCCTGTGCCAAAACAACTTTTTAAAATACAAGTGTTTCAATGCTTAAGTTTCTTTTTTCAGTTCAGAGTTTGTTTTCAATGCACATTTTGAGCTGTCACTGTCCTGGCTCTATAATTTTAGTAGTTTGCATTTTTTGGAAAGAGACTGTGACTTTATATTTTTAGAAGATTGCTACTGCCAGAAGTTAGAGTATTCATTCAAATGTAAAACATAATTTCCTTGTCAACTTCACAGATCACGAAAGCTGCCCCAACTCGAGCAAAACTCTCATGAATTTATTCTGACTTTGGAAATGTGTCTGTGACTCTGAAATCACTTGAAATGTCATTTGGTGTAAGGCCAGCACAAGTTGCTAAATTATTACAGACATGATACTCACAGAGATGGATCTGTTTCTGACTGAGATGGGTTTTGTAAACCAGAGACACAGAAGAAGTTTCTAGTTTACAGCTGCTTCAATCAGGAAATTTTTGATTAAAACCAAAAAAAAAAAATACTCAATAGACTATAGGGTTGCCAAAATTTTCAGGACCAAATTAGGGACAAAATGGAGCTCAGTGCCACAGTGGTGTGAGGATGATGTGTGAATGTAGTGTGTATTTGATATGTAGTTTTACTCAACCTACACATCAGCTCAAAACTTACTTGTTATATAATTTTCTAAAACCTCTAATAAAGGACTCCTAAAGTGACAGATTATACCAGATATCTCTAACTGAGAATACTTTAAGTACTGAGAATACTTCTATTATACTTTAATAATAAAACATGGCAAAATGTGAAAGATGAAATTATTATAGTGGAAATAAAATATCCCACTCTTACCTTGGGACTCCTTTAACCCCCTTGCTGATATTGCTTGCATATTTTCCTAGCGTGGCCTTCTTGTGCATCCCTGAAGGTAAGGTCATGCTCAGCACTGTGGCCTATTGAAGACTCCCGTCGGCAAAAAGTGCAGAAGGCACCCACGTCATCCTTGCTTCCCATTGCTTATCTTTGGAGGCCAGTTTATGCATATATGTATTCATACTTGGATGCCACAGGCTAACCAAACAACACCATCTATGAACAAAACTTATCTCAGGGTTTGGTGCTTTTGATGCTGTAGGTATATCTGATGCATGTGAGAGGGGCTGTGATTGGATGACAGACGTGATCAGTGCATGATGGACTAATGGCTGTTTCAGATCTAATCTAGGATCAGTTAAGTGTTAAGTTAAGGTGCGTTCCACTCAGGACGAACAAATTTGGTTTGTAATATGGGATGTCCCGGCTAATACGGGATGGCTGGCAACCCTAAAGTGACATCATAACACAAACAAATTAAGCAATTGAGGCAGCGATAGACCAGCATACATCTGTATTCTGCAATTTAAAATGATTGTTTTTGTCTATGGAGTCTGGTGGCTATCAAAAGAGCAATGTAACATATGTTACTGACCAAAAAACACATTTCATACTCTTAAACAAAGAGGTCTTTCTCTGTTGGGATCCGTTCTCTATTGTTTCCAATATGTCAAAATATTAAATTATAAGGCCCAAGTTTAAACGATACTGAAATTACACCTAATAACACATAAAGCATGAGTTTGTTTTAATTGACCTTTTCTAAAAGATCACAAACTTTGACCCTGATCAGGACTGAAACTAGCTGACTTTGACCACAGACTCTCATTAGCTATCGGCTTCAGCCAAATGATTGCGTACAGAATATTTATTTAGTGTGTAAAACTTTGGTTCCTGGAATTCAAACAAGTGTAGTGATGAAATAAAACTCCAGAGATCATTAACAGCTATTTACAGACAGTTTAATATCTCCACTTTGTACAGTGATATGGGAGGAGAAACATACTGTTGACATATATATTTCTTACTGTAGCAAATTAGCTTCTAAGCAAAATATTAATACAAATATAATTGCAGCAGTACACTGGCTGTGTTTGATTATAAGCATCTCATTTCAGCTCTGCAATACTATTTAGTCTTTACACTTAAGCAACAGCAACAAGAACGTCTTAATTACACATACATATTTCTTTGTCTGCCAAATACTGCACAGTTGGCTTGTAGGTGATATCTAGTGTCAACTTTACATTTGAATTATTGTAAACATATTTTGGAATGTCATTAACATTGATTGTTTTTTTGCAACAGTCTCGTTCAAATCAGGCATTTTTTTATTATTTTTTTTTTATCAAATGCACTGGTGATTATCTGATGAATACGGTAAGATGATCAGTGCTGTTCATTAAAAACTTTGTAATGACAAAGATATGATACATGTTCAGAAGCAAAAGGCATGGCTCACTTTCGTGCCATATATAAGCAAGAGTATTTGGGAAAGTCATAACTTTGCTGGACGGACGCTCAGTTGCACAGCTTATTAACAACTTCACATTTTGTCAGTTTGAATGACATTACTTCAACTCTTTACAGGTCAACAACATGCAACCAGAGATTGAAATTAACACCTGATCACTGACAATTTATCTGCTGTAATTGGTAGATTAAACCTGTTTCCCATGTCCCACGATGGACGGTGAAATTGAGAACCATCTGGCCAATGAGCCTGGACATTTGGGGATAATATCTTAAGTCATAATTTACATCAAGCTATTTCATTTTTCAGCTTCATCAAAGAACCTCATTTTCTCCGAGTGCACAGTCTCTCTAAGTCGTTGAATGGAAGAAGCTGTCTCGCCTGAGATGTGCTCAGCGGAGTCTAACATGCGCGTGATTTGTTTAGTTATAACAATTGTTTCTTTGCTTTCACTTCTTTCACTTGATGTCTCTGTTACTAAATGTCTCTCAAAGACTGTTTTCTTGCCGCCTTGTGAATCTTCAACAGTCCACGATGCAGCTTCTTTGCCCTCTGATCTAAGAGGAAGGCCTCCGACTGACTGCACTTGGACAGTAGTCAGAAGCTTGGCATGCTGTGCTTCTGGGGTTGCTTCTATGTTTGATGTAATGACATGTATTTTTCCAGATTCCAGTCTGAGTGTGTCTTCAGATGATGAAGAAACTCCAGATGACAGAATGGTAATTTTCTCAGGCAAGTTGGGCTCTACGGAGAACAGCTCAGTCCTTGTGGTGGAAGTGATGATATTACGGTGCACCTCTCCGAGTCCTGTAGCAGTGTTGGGATCAGAGTATTTGACAGTTACTTTGGTTGGAGAAGATAAGGACAGACCGACATGCTCACTTGTCATTGCAGAGCTAATATCAGCAAAAGCATCTGATGACTGGACAGAACAGGTAGGGCTTATTGTGTCATCCACTGTTTCCCCTTCAGGGCTCTTTTCCTTCTTGTCTTTTTCAGGACTCTTTGCAGGTTCTGATGGGGAGGACAGTCCAAACCTAGGAAATTTAAACCAACCTGTCCTCTCAGGACTTCTGGTAGCATCTTGCTTGATATGTGTTTCCTTTTCTTTTTCCTCTAACTTTCCACTGAGTCCATCTGCTTTGTGGACTTCCTTTGCGTTTTCAAGATTTCCTTCCATGGTGTCTGTTTTCGGAACCTGAAATTCCACATCAAAATTCTGGAACATTTCACCAATTGATGTCAAAGTCATTTTGGGGGACTTGTTCTCTTCTTTCGGCTCGATTTTAATTTCCAGCTGTTCTTCTAGACATTCAGCTTCGACGGGTGAAGATTGGTCTTCAGGTTTGGGCTTTGAGAAGCTCAGCCTTGGCATTTTAAATGATGGTAGTTTGAATTTACTAGGAGAGCCCTGACTTTCAGTTTCTGTCGTTGGTGTCTCAACATCTGTCTTGAACTCTACACTTGGACCTTTCAATGTTAATGGTGATCCTCCAATGTCTTTAGCCTTGGCTTCAGTCTCAGATGCTTTCATGTCGACACTAGATGCAGACTTAACTTCAATTTTAGGAAGTTTGACCTGAACTTTAACTTCTGGTAGTTTAATCTCTACATCGTTCTGTGGTGCATTTAACTCTTCTTGAGGTCCTTTTGCTTTTGGTAGTGCAATGCCAAACTTTGGCAATTTAAACTTGCTTCCTTGTCCATCATATTCAGTTTCATGCTCGGTTATATTTTCTAGTTGAGGTTGTGTGACTATCACTTCTCCCTCTGAAAGAGAAACATCCACATGTGGAATTTCAGCACTGACCTCAGGTTCTTTAATGCTTGACTTTGAGAAAGATAGTCTGGGTAGCGAAAATCTACTTTTTTTCAAGTTTACATCAGTTTCTACCGCAGGGAGCTCTTCCGTTGTGATAGCCCCTGAAGGTACCTGGACTTCAACATCTGGTGGACAGGGATCTTCTTTGGCAACTTTTAATGAAACATCAACTTCGGCTGTTTCAAAATTGATATCACCATCAGGAGCTTTAGCACCTGTCCTTGAAAATGAAAACTTAGGAAATGTCCAACTTGGTTGCCTTGACTTGGCCTCAACCTCAACTGTAGGTGCATCTGGTACTGCGGTAGCATCTTTATGTTCCTTGAATTCAACTTCAGGCAGTTTGACTTCAGCTTTGGCCTCTGGTAGTGTAACATTCGCATCTATGTTTGATAAACTTAGATCAATTTCAGGTCCTTTAACTTTGGGCATGGAGATACCAAAAGTTGGCAGTTTAATCTTGCTTCCTTGTCCATCATATTTAGTTTCAAGCTCAGTGATACTTTCTAGTTGAGGTTGTGTGATTATCACTTCTCCCGCTGAAAGAGAAACATCCACCTGTGGAAGTTCAGCACTGACCTCAGGTTCTTTAATGCTTGACTTTGAGAAAGATAGTCTGGGTAGCGAAAATCTACTTTTTTTCAAGTTTGATTCAGTTTCTACCGCAGGGAGTTCTTCCATTGTGATAGCCCCTGAAGGTACCTGGACTTCAACATCTGGGGGACAGGGATCTTCTTTGGGAACTTCTAATGAAACATCAACTTCGGCTGTTTCAAAATCGATATCACCATCAGGAGCTTTAGTACCTGTCCTTGAAAATGAAAACTTAGGAAATGTCCAACTTGGTTGCCTTGACTTGGCCTCAACCTCAACTGTAGGTGCATCTGGTACTGCGGTAGCATCTTTATGTTCCTTGAATTCAACTTCAGGCAGTTTGACTTCAGCTTTGGCCTCTGGTAGTGTAACATTCGCATTTATGTTTGATAAACTTAGATCAATTTCAGGTCCTTTAACTTTGGGCATGGAGATGCCAAAATTAGGCAGTTTAAACTTGCTTCCTGATCCTTCAATTTCACTTCCTTTACCTTTCAGATCCACAGATATGCCTTCAATGTCTGAACTGGGTCGTGTGACATCCACAGTAACTCCCTCTTTCGATATTTCCAGCTTTTCCTTATCAATTTTAATGTTTTTGTCAATGTTAGGTACTTCAACACTGACCTGTGCAGCACTTGCTCCAAATTTGGGTAATTTAAATGTTGGCATTTTAAATTTTGTTGGTGATCCTTCAGTATACTTGTCTGAACATCAACTTGTGGAGTTATCATTTCCACTTTGGCGGAAGATTCTTTAAGTTCGACACCAGAGAGTTGAACTTTAGCTTTGGCCTCTGGTAGAGTCACATCTACATCTTTCTTTGACAAGCTTAAATCAATATCAGGGTGTTGAACATGAGACCCTGAAAAACCTAGACTTGGCATTTTGAACTTGCTCCCTTTTCCTTCATGTTCAATTCCTTTGATTTTAATATCTTTTGATGGACCTTCAATGTCAATATGGGGGGCTGAAATATCAACTTGGGGAACGTCTCCGGAAATCTTTATATCAGCTCCATCGATTTTTAGGTCTTTTTTAGTTTCAGGCAGTTCTACACTGGCACTTGGAATACCGATTCCAAACTTTGGTAGTTTAAAAGTAGGCATCTTAAATTTTGATGGTGAGCCTTCTTTATCCTTTGTTTGAACTTTGATCTCAGGTGCTTTGAATTCTACTTCAGCAGAGGGTTTTTGTAGTACAACTTCGGGTAGTTTGACTTCCACTTTAGCTTCGGGGAGTGTCACATCTATGTCCTTCTTTGATAGATTTATATCAATTTCAGGTCCTGTTACTTTAGGCATTGTTATGCCAAACTTTGGCATTTTAAACTTCCCTGCTTTTCCTTCGTGTTCTATTCCTGTCATTTTCATATCTATTGATGAGCCCTCAATGTCAACTGTGAGAACTTCTTCAGGAATTGTAATGTCTGGTCCATCAATTTTTAGGTCTTTGTTGGTTTCAGGTACTTCTGCAACGGCACTTGGCATTCCAACTCCAAATTTTGGTAGTTTAAATGTGGGCAACTTATACTTAGATGGTGATACTTCTGTATCCTTCTTCACCACCTTGATCTCAGGAGCTTTGATTTCCAATTCAGCAGAAGGTTTTTTCACTTCCACGTCAGGGAGTTTGACTTCAGCTTTGGCTTCAGGGAGCGTCACATCTACATCTTTCTTTGATAGATTTATATCAATATCCGGCCCTTTTACTTTAGGCATTGATACTCCTAGCTTCAGCATTTTAAACTTGCTTCCTTTTTCTGGATGTTCAGTTCCTGTAGTTTTCATCTCTATGGATGGACCCTCAATGTCAATGCTCGGTGCAGCAATGTTGATTTTGAGATCTTCATCAGGAATATTCATGTCAGCTCCATCAATTTTGAGATCTTTGTTAGTTTCAGGCATGTCCACAGTGGCACTTGGCATACTGACTCCAAATTTTGGTAGTTTGAATGTGGGCATCTTAAATTTTGAAGGTGAGCCTTCTTTGTCTTTTGTTTGAAGTTTGATCTCAGGTGATTTAAATTCTACTTCAGCGGAGGGTTTTTGCAGTTCAACATCAGGGAGTTTGACTTCAGCTTTAGCTTCAGGGAGTGTCACATCTACATCTTTCTTTGATAGATTTATATTAATATCTGGCCCTTTTACTTTAGGCATTGATACTCCTAGCTTCGGCATTTTAAACTTGCTTCCTTTTTCTGGATGTTCAGTTCCTGTAGTTTTCATCTCTATGGATGGACCCTCAATGTCAATGCTCGGTGCAGCAATGTTGATTTTAAGATCTTCAGGAATATTCATGTCAGCTCCATCAATTTTGAGATCTTTGTTAGTTTCAGGCATGTCCACAGTGACACTTGGCACACTGACTCCAAATTTTGGTAGTTTGAATGTGGGCATCTTAAATTTTGAAGGTGAGCCTTCTTTGTCTTTTGTTTGAAGTTTTTTCTCAGGTGATTTAAATTCTACTTCAGCGGAGGGTTTTTGCAGTTCCACTTCAGGAAGTTTGACTTCAGCTTTAGCTTCAGGGAGTGTCACATCGACGTCTTTCTTTGATAGATTTATATCAATATCAGGCCCTTTTACTTTAGGCTTTGATACTCCTATCTTTGGCATTTTAAACTTGCTTCCTTTTTCTGGATGTTCAGTCACTGAAGTTTTCATCTCTATGGATGGGCCCTCAATGTCAATGCTCGGTGCAGCAATGTTGATGTTGAGATCTTCAGTAATACTCATGTCAGCCCCATCAATTTTGAGATTTTTGTTAGTTTCAGGCACTTCCACAGTGGCACTTGGCGTACTGACTCCAAATTTTGGTAGTTTGAATGTGGGCATCTTATACTTTGATGGTGAGCCTTCTTTGTTCTTCAATGCCACTTTGATTTCAGGATCTTTAATGTCAAATTCAGCTGAAGGCTCTTTCATTTCAACATCAGGGAGTTTGACTTCGGCTTTGACCTCTGGAAGTGTCACATTCACATCTTTCTTAGACAAGCTTAAATCAATATCAGGTCGTTTAACTTGAGGCACATTGAAACCAAGACTTGGCATTTTGAACTTGCTTCCTTTTCCTACATGTTCAGTTCCTGTAGATTTGATCTCTATGGATGGGCCCTCAATGTCAATGCTGGGTGTTGCAATAACGACTTGGAGAACCTCTTCAGGTATTTTCATATCAGCCCCATCAATTTTGAGTTCTTTGTCAGTTTCAGGCAGTTCTACATGGGCACTTGGAGAACCCATTCCAAATTTTGGTAGTTTAAATGTTGGCATCTTAAATTTTGATGGTGAGCCTTCTTTATCTTTTGTTTGAACTTTGATCTCAGGTGATTTAAATTCTACTTCAGAAGAGGGTTTTTGCAGTTCAACATCAGGGAGTTTGACTTCAGCTTTAGCTTCAGGGAGTGTCAAGTCTACATTTTTCGTGGATAAACTTAAATCAATTTCAGGCCCTGTTACGTTAGGCATTGTTATTCCAAACTTTGGCATTTTAAACTTGCTCCCTTTCACTTCTTGTTCTGTTCCTATAGATTTTACATCTATTGCAGGGCCTTCAATGTCAATGTTGGGTGCTGCAACTGTGAGAACCTCTTCAGGAAATCTTACTGCTCCTCCATCGATTTTTACGTCTTTGTTAGTGTCAGGCACTTCCACAGTGGCACTTGGCATGCTAACTCCAAATTTTGGTAATTTGAATGTTGGCATCTTAAATTTTGTTGGTGATCCTACTGTGTTCTTCATTGCCACTTTGATTTCAGGATCTTTAATGTCCAATTCAGCAGAGGGCTCATTCATTTTAACATCAGGGAGTTTGACTTCGGCTTTGACCTCTGGAAGTGTCACATTCACATCTTTCTTTGACAAGTTTAAATCAATATCAGGTTGTTTAACTTGAGGCACATTTAAACCTAGAGTTGGCATTTTAAACTTGCTTCCTTTTCCTACATGTTCAGTACCTGAAGTTTGCATCTCTATGGATGGGCCCTCAATGTCAATACTGGGGGCTGCAATATCAACTTGGGGAATGTCTCCAGAAAGCTTTATATCAGCTCCATCAATTTTGAGGTCCTTGTTAGTTTCAGGCAGTTCTACAGTGGCACTTGGGATACTGACTCCAAATTTTGGTAGCTTAAAAGTAGGCATCTTAAATTTTGATGGTGAGCCGTCTTTATCTTTTGTTTGAATTTTGATCTCAGGTGCTTTGAATTCTACTTCAGCAGAGGGTTTTTGCAGTTCAACTTCGGGTCTTTTGACTTCAGCTTTAGCTTCAGGGAGTGTCACATCTATGTCCTTCTTTGATAGATTTATATCAATTTCAGGCCCTGTTACTTTAGGCATTGTTATGCCAAACTTTGGCATTTTAAACTTGCCTGCTTTTCCTTCGTGTTCTATTCCTGTCATTTTCATATCTATTGATGGGCTCCCAATGTCAACTGTGAGAACTTCTTCAGGAATTTTAATGTCTGCTCCATCAATTTTTAGGTCTTTGTTGGCTTCAGGTACTTCTGCTACAGCACTTGGCATTCCAACTCCAAATTTTGGTAGTTTAAATGTAGGCAACTTATACTTAGATGGTGATCCTTCTGTATCCTTCTTCGCCACCTTGATCTCAGGAGCTTTAATTTCCAATTCAGCAGAAGGTTTTTTCACTTCCAAGTCAAGGATTTGGACTTCAGCTTTGGCTTCTGGTAGTGTCACATTGCCATCTTTCTTAGATAAACTAAAATCTATTTCAGGCCCTGTTACCTCAGGCATTGTGAATCCAAACTTTGGCATTGTAAACTTGCTCCGTTCACCATCAACTTTTGCTTCCCCCTCCGGTAATTGTAGATCCACTTCCCCTCCTTTCACTTCAACCTTTCCCTCTGGAATTGCAACATTCACACTCTGAAGACTGACATCAACTTCTGGAGCCTTTACACTTTGTTTTGAAAATGAAAAACTGGGTAGTGAAAACTTTGGCTTTTTCAGTTTTATATCAAACTCAACACCCGGCTGATCATCTTTTACAGCCCACTCTGAACTATCTTTTACTTCCACCTCTGGCAATTTGACCTCTGCTTCAACTTTTGGTACATCGATATCTGTAGATGGCACTGATATTTTTAAGTCAGCTCCTTCAATTTTGATATTTTTGTCCATATCAGGTACCTCAGCGCTGACATTTGGAGTTGTTACTCCAAATTTGGGAAATTTGAATGTGGGCATTTTAAATTTTGAAGGCGATGCTTTTAGGTTACTTGATTGAGCCTCAATCCCAGGAGCTTTAATTTCCACTTTAGCAGAATGTTCTTGAAGTTTAACATCAGGGAGAATAACCTCTGCTTTGGCTTTTGGTTGTGTGGTGTCTTCATCTTTCTTTGATAAGCTGAAGTCAAATTCAGGTCCTTTCACTTTAGGCATTGATATTCCAAACTTTGGCGTCTTGAACTTGCTTTCTTGCCCAGCAAGTTCACCTTCAAACTGCAAGGTCTCTGATTCCAGCTGAGGTTTTTTAACCTCAATCTTAGCTTCTGGAATAGAAAGATCCACTTTACCAAGTTTGACATCAATTTCAGGAGCTTCTGGGAATTGGGCCTTAGCATCTGGTAATTTGACATCCACACCTTTCTTCGGAGAGCTTACATCAATTTTAGTACCTTGTACTTTTGGCAATGATATTCCAAACTTTGGTACTTTAAACTTGCCTTCTTTTCCCACACCTTCTGTTTCAGTTATTTTCACATCAAGTGAAGGAACCACAATATCAATATTTTGTGCTGCAATGTCACGTGTTGTCCGATATTGAGCCTCAATTTCTACTTCAGCAGAAGACTTTTTCAGGTCAACATCAGGGAGTTTTACTTCTGCAT